TTCTCAGCTAGTTTGTCTCCAGAACTCATGAGCAGAAGCACTACACTACAATTTCCTGGACCTCATTGATTTAATAATTCACTACTCACATACATTTAAGCTTTTCATGATTTGATATAACAAACAGCCATGATGAAGTTACTGGTAACCTGAATATTTAGTGAACATTGGGATACAATGGGCCGGTTTCCACAGATGACTAATTCTTTTCACAAATCAAATGTAATGAATGTTCAGATACACTTGGCTTTCAGAAAAATCAGTACTTTTCCTCATAAACTGTGGTAATTAACTATATGACAAACTCCCTATAATTAAGGGATAAATTGCTGGCATAAAAATAAAGAATGCTTGCATGCTCTAATTACACTGCAGCTTATAGTTTATCAAACATGTACTTTGAACATAAAAGGTTATGTAAGTACATAACTTCTAAAAGAAACCCTCTGCCTTCTCCATACAAAAGTGACAACCAGAAAATGACAGCTTGGCTTAATAATGCTAAAACTCTTGGCCATGCTTGCAGACCAAACTTTCACACAGGGCTCCCTTACTCTTTTCAGAGGTTAGCTTTAAGGTCTAATGTCACTCTCCAACTATCAATTATTAAGATCAAAGTACTGGGAAGAATTTTGCATTTACTTATTAACCAGTATGAACCATGATGAATGCAATAAGGTGAGTACTCAGTGACATTGACAGGCTCTTGGAAACCAAGTTTAATTGGAACGAAGTATAATGAAACCAATTTGACCATAGGCTAATTGATATAAACAAGAATTAAGTTTCTATGGCCTATTTCTGGTTGCAAACTTCTAAACAAAGACCAAAACGCTTCTAATATAAAACATTGGAATAAATGTAATTATAGATACATTTAAGAAAGATTAATAAAAACAGGCACGATAATTATCTGTCCAATTATTTTGTTTCAGGGTAGCAGGTGGCCAGAGCCTAGCCTGGCAGCTCAGGGCACAAGGAAGTAACAGGCCCTGGGCAGGACATCATCCCACGGCAGATGCACTAACATAACGCACATCACATTCACCCACACTGGGACCATTTAAACATGCCGCTTCACCTAATAGGTACATCTTTGGGAGGTGGGAGGAAAACAGGATAGAAAAGCCATGCAGATATGGGGAGAACATGCAAACTACACACAGACAGCAGCCCTAGCCAGGGAGTGATTTTTTTTTTCTCATCAGTGTTGGAAAGAAATGATATTGAATGAAATAATATAATTTGAAGACCTGCTGTGTATTTATCCCAAATGCTCCTCATCACACACAAAAAGAGAAAGCTCTTGCAGGCTTCCATTACGTGACAGCCTTCCTCCCTTTCTGCCTGATGAACACCAGTACATGTCCTCTCAGCAGCACCGTTCCAAAAGCAAGCCTGAGATGTATTCTTGGCACCTGGCCTCATGATCATCCCATGCTCTGTGTGAGTGCAGGGGGAAGGACTTGCACTGTGCAGACAGCATTCTGCCTGGGAACAGGAATAAAAAGATGGGAGTGTAAAGTTGGAGCTCAGCAGGGTGTGGTGCCCAGGCACTATATGAGTAAGGGGAGAATCGAATCAGATTCAAACCATTTTTATTTCCTAGCTATCAGAGTGAAAACAAAGCGCATAAATTGGTGATGACAACAAATTAATAAAGGAAACATGCCACTTAACCTACTATGTACATGAATACATATACTAATGAATACTCATCTCTAGCGATTTATAGATTAATAGAATATTTTCGCTTTTACCATCTAATATTTCAAAACTCACTCTAAATAAAAATAAACTAGCATAACATCAACAAAAAGAATCTTTTAAATAATTTAATAGATACAATGCTGTAATGATATATATGAATATTTGGCAATGTTAGAAAGCTACCAAAGAACAGCCATACTAATAAATGTTAAAAAGTAGAAGGCTGTGATTATTACTGAAGTTAATTTCAGAGGTATTCAAAATGAAAAGGTTATAATAGTTACCCTGACCATATTATTCAAAATATGTCTAAGATCTCTTCCTATAATTCACAACCTTTTTTTTTTTTAGATGTTAAAGATGGGCCCAGGCTGGAGTACAGTGGTGTGATCATAGCTTACTGCAGCCTTGAACTCCTGGGTTCAAGCAATCCTCCTGTCTCAGCCTCCTGAGTCTCTAGGCTACAGGCACATGCCACCGCACTTGGCTTATTTATTTTATTTTATTTTTTGTAGAAATGAAGTCTCACTATTGTTACAGCCCAAGCTGGTTTCAAATTCCTGACCTCAAGCGATCCTTCCACCTTAGCCTCCCAAAGCGCTGGGATTACAGGCATGAGCCACTGTGCCCCAGCTAAGTTCCACTGTTTTTAATCTTTATTTAATAAAGTAAACAAGATCTAATTTTGTACAGATTATTCCATTTTTAAACATATTTTCTTATAAAGGTATGTGTCTCAAAATATTACATTGTATACTTTTCCTCAGCTGATTATCAATGATCTGGACTTCGCAAATTAACCATTTGGAAGTCCAGTTTTCTTAACCATAAAATGGGAATATGCATTATAATAGGATATCAGCTAAGTCACTATAGAAAAAAAGTTAAAACAATCCAGTGGCTTAGAGGAGAAAGTAGTTCACTTCTTTCTCAGGACCATCTAGGCTGGGAATATGAACTCCGCTCCATAAGCTCATCCAGGAACCCAGGCTGGCCGGATAGATTGGTCACAATCACACAGTGATTTCCAAGGTTGCTCCAGTCATTACCTTTCCAGTTGGTAAGAAGGGGTAGAGAATGGTATTTGTCCTTCTGCTCACATTCCATTTGTCTAAACTTGGTCTCATGGTTACACCTAACTGCAAGGGAAGCTGGGAAATATAGATTGTAGCTAAGCAGTCATGAATGTAGCTAAAATTAGGGAATTCAATTACTAAAAGGAAGAAGGGGAGAAGGAATACTGAGTATTAGCAGTTCTTACCATTATAATAAGGACCATGTTTAAAAATTGTTGTGAGGGCTGAGACTGTATTTGTAGAGCATATATAAATCATTAGCACAGGACTTGCTACATACTGACAATCATCATTAAATGGAAGTTATTATTAGTGTTAGTATGTTACCATTATTAAGTACTTCTATTCTTACCTAAATGCTTGAATTCTCTCTAAAGTATCATGGACAAGCTATTTTTTCGCTATCCTGGAGTTCCTATAGTAAAAGGAAATTTTGTCTCTTTTAAGGCAACCATTTTGTTTTGAGATTTTCCTTCTTTCTAGCCATTATTTGTCTTCTTACACTCACTCTCCTTTGTTTTATCCTAATTGTGATCTCAGGCACCCTCCAGAACAATTCTCATTTCTCTGTCATACAAAAGTCCTTCAGATTCTTATGGGAAGCTATTGCTTCTTTCATGAGTTTTCTTCAAGCACTTTTTTGTTCCTCCAACAGTCCCTCATAATTCATGATGTTGAGTAAATCCACCATCCAAAGACATTCATTCACTTATTTAACAAATATTTATTGAGTGCCAACTATTTTATTGACGCCCACTTTAAAACTGTTGTCAAGATCAGTACACAGTATTCAAAGTTGGTCTGGCCAGAGCCTAGCAGGGCACACCATCAATCCCCTCATTCAGGGTATCATTTTCCCCAAGTGGGCCTTAAGATCATTTAACTCTTTTGGCAGCCTTATCATGCTATTGACATATGTTGACTTGGTGCCTATTACACCCCAAGCCTTTTTCATTTGTGCAGTTAACCAAGGTGTACCTTCTCTACACGTGAAGATTTTAAAAAATCCGAATACAAACTGTTTCCTTTATTTCTAGTTGATGAATTGTATTGTATTGCAGTCTCTGAAGAATTTTTATTCTTTCATTGAATATGTTAATTATTTCACACAGATTCACACAATCTGAACACCTGATAAGCATGTGCTGACTCTTCAGCTAAGTTATTGATCAAAATGTGGAAGTCAAAGGACAGAAGAGAAGCCACTAGTAACCCTCAGAGCAATCACTTAACTAGTTACGAATGCACATAACTGCACAAGCATTTAGGAAGTATTATCCTATGTAGTTCACAAGAGTCTCAAGAAAATACCTGGTTTCTGTGCTCACTGCCATGCCCAATGAGGCCTTGGCTTACCAGTCCAAGTGCTACCTTCTGGCTTCATTCAGCCCAACGGAGCAGAATCTCCCTGATGAGGAGAGCACGATTGGTGTTTTCCTGATGTCAGAACTGTGTGCACTGAGATTCAACAAATTTTTATTGAACTGTAATTGTGTGCCAGGCATTGTACTGAGCACTTTCTTACATAAATGGAGCATGGAAGACATGGAATATATTTTGTAAAAAAATGCATATATCCTCAAGTAATTAACTGTCTTATTTGTCCTATGTGTGAGACCAGTACACAGTGTTCCTTATTTAGAAACTATGGCAAAGTGCTAAATGGTTTTCCCATACAGGTACTCCTCAGCTTTTAGCATGAGGAATACAAACAGATACTTTATTTTATTTTGTGAGATAGAGTCTCACTCTGTTGCCTAAGTTGGAGTACAGTGGCATGATCTTGTCTCACTGCAACGTGTGCCTCCCAGGTTCAAGCGATTCTCGTGCCTCAGCCTCCTAAGTAGCTGGGACTACAGGAGCATGCCACCATGCCCACCTCTTTTTTCTATTTTTTGGATAGAGATGGGGTTTTTCCATGTTGGCTAGGCTGGTCTCAAACTCCTGGTTTCAAGTGATCTTCCCGCCTGGCCTCCCAAAGAGCTCAGGTTGACTGTAGGCCAGGTGTGAGCCACCGGCGACCGCCCTACAAACAGAATTTTAAAATGTGATATATATTTTTCTATTATCTCTCAGTGGCTAAATTATTGCTAAATATCACCCTACACCCTGAGGCTAAGTAAGTCAACATAAACTGTGTGGACATGTTCCAGATATACATACAGGAATATAATTCATTTGCTCTAGACATTTAGAATTTAAATTGTGAGTCACCTGTACAGATGTTACCTTTTCCAAAGGGCTTTCTACTCGAGGAATGCTGATCATTGGCATCTGTGCCAGATTATCCATGTGTATATGTTCATTTTCTGCTTGTCTTCCTTTGAAATTATTTACCACGCACACGACCTAAAATTTCAGAAAACAATTAGAGTTAAAGCAAAACTGTGCTCACAGTGGCTTTCACCCTTGAGGGGCTTAATAAATCTAAACATTTAAGAAAGTATTAAAATTTCTTAAATGTTACATGTATATGAATTTATATCCAGATTTACTGTATACATTTATTTAAAATTTATTGTATAAATTTTAAAGCCACTCCAATGTAGATATGTTCAAGAAAACTCACCAGGTAATATGTAGCTCACTTAATTATGACAATTTTATTATTCTAAAATTTTCATTAGATTATAGTCAATGCTCAAATCAATCATAACACCATAACCTTATAAAAATTCATAGCAAGTTAACCTTTTCCTAATATGGCTAACCTACAACTTAATTTAAATGCTAATTATTTTTCTTTGCTTCAGTATCATCATATTCATAATAAACCTTCTACAATTGGCACTCTTTAATTTAGTAGCATCCCTAATTAACCTAGTTTACCGTCTATTATTGTGTCTCATATATACCTGGTATTCCAACAATAGCTTACTGAGGCTACCACTGAAATAGAAAACCCTTTACATAAAGGAAATTGACCCTTGTTTCAATTGATTTTATCTCACAGGTGACAGAATTTGAACTAAACCAGAGGTTCTCATACTTAATATGCATAAAAATACATTTCTGGCATTGTTAAAAATGCACATCCCTAAGCCCTCCCCTAAAGATTCTGATTTAGTAAATGAAGAATGGGGCCTGGGAGTTGGCACTTGAAAAATGCATTCAAGAAGCTTCTAATGCAGGTGAATCATATTTAAGAAATAATGAAATCATATTTAAGAAATAATGAAATCATATTTAAGAAATAATGAAATCATATTTAAGAAATAAACATACCAGGAAAATTATTTGCTATTGTTTGGTTATACAATAAAAAAGATATTATTGGGAAAGTTATTCTTGAGTTTTCTTTACTGCATTTCATATTCTATTACAAATCAAAATACAGGTCTTACTTGCAGCTATAACCTAACATTCATTTTGTAACGTAGGTACTTAATATATAATTATACATTTACATTTCATATTTTCACAAATGCTACATTGAAAAGCCTTTTCTTTAGTAGAGTTGGTTGCTGAATATTTTCAAAGGCCAATTAGATCTTGGTTGCCTTTCATTTTTTAACTATAATTTACGAATCTACAAAATAATAACAAGTACTGAGACTTTATGTCAGAAAAAAACTTCTTTGCAAATTGTTACATACTTATCCTTCCACTTCCCAGAAGAATTACAGATTAGAAAATTAGATCAAAGCCTGATAATTTGATACCTCAACTTTGCAGTTGCCACCAAGATCATTAAAGTAAGGGACAGTAAAGGCTTGGAGATGGGTACTTGATAAGATTGCTATCTCATGATGTTGCATAAGCCCACAAAGGTCTAATAGATACTAGATTGCTCTAGAGATAAGGTAAGCAAATTTTATCTGTAAAAAGAAGATAGTAAATATTTTTGGCTTTACAGCCTTACAACCTTTGCAGCGACTATTCAACTCTGCCTTTTTGGTGCAAAAGCAGGCATTGACAGTTTATAAACAAATGGGAGTGTCAATATTCCAATACAACTTCCTTTACAAAGATGGGCAGCAGATCAAATTTGGTCTGTGGGCCACAGTTGGCTGACTGACCACTGCTCTAGAGTACAAAGGAAATAATGAAGAATTTTAGCCAACAATAACAACAATGAAACAAATAAGCAGTTTCACACTCATTTCATGAAATCTGCACACACATACAGATGTTCCTTTTCAGGAGTATTATAAATTATTGGAAAATTGGGAAGATGAATAACATTGCTAATAATTATTTTGAAGTAAACTTGTTAAAGTAACTGTACATAAGTATATGGAACTCATGAGATAAAGGAAAGTTCATCTAGTGTCCATATGGGCTTCTGGAATTATAATTATTTCATATTAATTAGGTTTTGGAAACTCTTTGAAGGATGTATTGATTATCTCTTTGCCTTAATAAAGGATCAGGGCAATGCCACTGAAGCAGCTGAGAATTTGTATATGAAATAGTTAAGTGACTAACGCATAGCAGACACTTATTAAATTGTATCTACTAGCATAATGATTATTCTTATTATTTTAATTTTTAGGAAGGAAATGACCTAATTTTCTCCAGAGTTATATTCCAATATTTAATAAGACTCATCTGCTACCATTTACAAGTAGGGAACAGATGTCCTGTTTGTAAAAATGCTGATAAGAATAAGCAAGGGACCTGGTTTTTGATCCTGAGCATGCCTGAGTTTGTTATGTTATTGGACAGTTCTCAGGGTGTCACTTTTCTCAATTAAAAAGTGAAGAGGTTGCAATCGATCACTAAGTTAACTTCATATCTTTGGCTGGCAAAGGTATGACAATTCAACAACTACTCAAAACTAAACTCAAGATCTGGCCCCCTCCAGCATTCACTCCAAACTTAATCTTTTCTCTGGATACTTTCAAAGAAAGGCAACGTGCCACCCCATCCCCAACACCTACCTCCACCCCAATGCAGCTGCACAACGCTGAAAACTTAAATTAATCTTTTACGTCTCTTATACTTGACCAGTTACTGAATCTGCTCAGTATTACTTTCTAAATATATCGATTTCTTGTATTTGCTTCATTCTACCTCCTCTACCAACTCCAAAAACTAAGCAATCACCACTTGTTGCCTGGATTCCTACACAGCTTTCTAAACTGTTTCTCTAAATCTAATCTTGCCCCCTCTTTTTCCACAGTAATATGAAAATGATCTTTCCAAATGCAAACTGGATTATGTTACCCCTTAAAGCCATTCATGGCTTGGCTTTCCATTTTTCTTAAACTGTTAACCCTGGCCCAGGCCCACTGTTGCAGCTTTCCTCTGTTTTCAAAGTACTTTCTGTTCCCTTTCACTTACTGCTGTTTGGATACACCTCATGTCCACTGTCTTTGGATGCCATATCTAACTCAGCCATGATGTCTTATCTCAGCATCATTTCCTCGTGGGTGCATTCCTTGAACTCCTACCTGGGATGGTTTGTTTTGTTTTTGTTTGTTTGCTTTTTGCTCACATGGAGCTGTGATTCTTTTTATCAGAGCCATTAGTAAGAAATTAAACATCACTTAAAATAATACTTTGATTGATGTGTCTCTTCCAAGTTCCACACATGCAGAGCTGCCCCTTTTTGCTCACCACTGTGTTCCCACTGTCACAGTGAATGAACAGATTAATGAATGAACATGCATCCAGAACAAAAATTCTCAAGTTTTCTGATGTGATTGTATAATTTAATATTACTTTGCTTTCATACATTCTATTTTTACATTAGTGACTTCCATCTGTATAACTGTCATAATTCTATTTTCTCCTACAAAGATGATATTTTCTTTTTCCTTAGTGATGAAAACTTAATCTGATCCATTCTTATTCATTTTCACTATTTGTGGCAAATGAAACATAATTATTGCATGGGGTTAAGTGCATGGGCCTTGGGGTCAAACTGGTCTGGATATTAATCCCGGATCTCTCAGCTACTACCTTTGTGAACATGGGCAAACTACTCCATATAATCAGGCCTCAATTTTTTTAAACCTGCAAAATGAGGACAATAAAAATTACATTTTACTGATCTGTTCTGAGGGTTAATTGCATTAATGTGGTAAAGAGCACCATAACTATTATTGTGATATATGATAACATAACAAGCTATTGTTGTGGCTCAATAGCCATTCTGCCTGACGCTGTCATATATATAATAATCAATCTACAACTATTCTTCAACGTGTTTGTTCTGTATTTTGATAAGTATAGGGATTCTGCTCTCTAACTTGAAACGAAATTCACATGAGATAAGAGTGATACAATTAACACAGTACATAATTCCTTATTAAATTATAAGAAGACAGACTGAGAGAGTGGTAGAAATTCAGGAAAAATGGAAAAAGCAGCTAATCAGGGAAGGTTCCTGGGGAAATTAGATCTTGTCTGAGCCAAATCTCACGTGTGTAAAGGGTTTGAATATAGTCATTAAATGTGGAGACTGTGGTATTTAGCGTCTTGTTTGCAATAGGCTGCCCTTCTTACATGTGGGATTTCACATGATCCTTAAAAGAACCCTGGGAAGTAAATAAAAAATTCTTTATTCATTCTTTCATGTATTAATTCATTCATTATGTATTTACTCAGTAATTCCTCTGTACTAGACCTCGTTCTGGTTATTGGGGATATACAGTGAACAAACCGAACAAAAGGCTCCATAAGGAGGTTACATTCTACTGGGATTGATAGCAAAGCCAAACCAAACATGTTACATGTGGTATACTGCACAGCAATTTATTACACATTAATTAATAGTACATATTAAAAGTTGAAACATCCTATGTAGAAAATAAAGTAGGGAATGAGGAAACGAATCCTCAAGGAAGGCTGGTCATTTTAAACATGTTTCAGGAAAGGCCTCACTATTTTAGTAAGAAACAATCATATCTAGATTTCAAAGAGTATGGTCAGAGAGCAAAGACACAAAACATGGAAGAAATATTTTCATAGTGGAAATGAACCTGGCCTAAATGAATCACTGGTGTCTGGAATGAACCAGGAGAATAAGCTGGTGTGTGGAATGAACCAGGAGATTCTACTCTTGGAGACCTGGAGTAGATTAGCATTAATTTTATTTTGGAATCACTTTAGAATTCTGCACACAATGCAAGATAATTAGAAACACCCCAGGATATTACAACATATTACCGGCCAGAGCTGGAGTTACTGCTCAAAATAAATGCGTTGTGTTTCCCAAATGAAAAAACTGGGAATCATCATAGAAGGCTCCCTGTGCCTCGTCCACATCACCTTCCATGTTCCACCAGGGTCCAAACCATTCCACCTCCTAAATATCCTGGAGGACATGATGGATATCCTCCATCTTTGTGCCACTGAGGACCAATTTATACCATCCTGCTTCCCTGGCCCTTCATAACCCATTTCTTCTATGCTCAACTTTGTCATAGCATCCTGCAAATATATTTTCAAAACACAAATCTTATCATAGGGTAAAAGGGACCGAGAAGAAGCAAACTATAATTTGTGGAACTTTTTCCAGTCATTCATGTAGCCATTCACTGAACATGCACTATTTTGTTTAACCTTTATAGACCCTTATTATCATCTTTTAGGGAGGTGTTATTTAACCACATTTAAATATACCTATAGGCATTCACACTCATGGTTGCAAATAAATGCATAAATGCATTTTTAGTTATTATATAGGCATTATTTTCATATAATCTTTTCATGAAGTCATTTTCCTGGGAGTATGGGAATGTTTAAAGCGCTATCATGAAATGTTCTCAACATGTGCAATAGGAGGGTCTTGACCTCAAGGGGGATCCAGGGTTCAGCTCAACATTCACCAGACAGGGAAGTAACTTGGAAGGCACCAGCATTCTGGTGTTGGCCTTGTAGGGTAAGGTGTTCATTGGAAGTATAGGGAGGGTGGCAATAGCCACAGATAAACAAGAAGGTTGATGAGATGACAGTGAAGACATTATGGACCCATGGAGGAAAGTGGCAATAGCTAAAGATAAACAAGAAGGCCGACGAGATGCCAGTGAAGATGTTATGGACCCACGGAGCCGAAACACAGTTGCATCTGGCACTAATGCTTTGATATTTTGGCTACTTCTATGGTCTTTGCTTTGCCAATAACATTTTTTTAAGGATTTATGTAAAGTTTGTTGTTGGTGTTGCTTTTTGAATGTTATTCCATTTCAGCTGTAGTGTGTGAATAAAAAAAAAAAAAAAAAAAAAGGTTTTGGTCCAAGCCAGGGTCCCCAGTTTTCATGAGGCTGCAGGATATCTCCAAGAAAGAGAGAAGGTTGAGTAAGTCTAAGTCTCCCAGGGACCTTGGGTATTACAGAGAGTGATATCTATATCATCTATCTATCTATCTATCTATCTATCTATATGTTTCTTATAAACCCTTAAATAATATTATAGGCAGTTTTTACCCAGTCTTAAAAACTATTTGGGAAGGACAGTATGTTTTTAGGCCAGCTCTATTTTTTATGAAAATATCTTGTTCAACTTTAAGTGTAAGATTTACATTTTTTTCAACTCCAAACCTGACTTGAGGCAGAACAAATGCAAGAGGAGGAAGACATGAATGACTTAAATGAATGACTTGTTTGATATACTACATTTAGACAAACCCAGTGGTTCACACATGTATTTTCTTATAAATTTTCTTTAAATTAACACAAGTGAATTTAAAAACCCATTGATATATAAATACATTTGTACTTACCAGAAATACTGCTATAGATATTCCAACCAGAAAGCCTGCTATAACATCTGACCAATGATTTCGATATTCTGCTACTCTGTTGAGTCCAGTAAGAAATGCCAAACACATTAAGCCCAAGCATAGAACTGGCTTAGCAAGTCTGGTTCCCTTGGCTTTGATTGTGTTGGTAATGTACATCTGAAACATTAAATAAAAGACATGACTTTTCATGAAGGTATTTCCTTTACTAGCATAGCATATTATGTGTATGTACAAACACACATACACACACACACACACACAAACACACACACCTGTATGGTTCAAATCATTAACTGTAGTTTATGAAGTTTTTAAAATAAGTTTCTTAAAAGCAGAATTCAAGAGTAGCAATTATTTCATTTTACTTACCTTCTATGGCAATCTCTTACTAATGGCCAATTCTTAACATAACATTATTAATCATCTAGAAACATCAAGCACAGATATTCCAATTGTCTTTTTTTCTTTTTTTCTTACTGTATCTATTCTTGTTTTATCTGAATTTTCATTTTAGGTCAACCTCAACAATATTGTCAGAAAGGGGAAAACTGATGAAGTGTGCAAGTGTTTTTAATGTTTCCACTTGTATATACCATAATGAAAGGATGCGTATTTGATAAAAACCAGAATTGTGAAGATAGCTAGGAAAAATAAAATGGAATAGATTTCTACCAAACAGATGTTACTCTGAAGAAAGAATTTAAGGTTCAATGCACTGCCAAGGCTTCCTTTCATGTTGTTAAATGAAATTGTGAAATTATTTTGTTTAACTACATTTTATGAGCCAGAATTAGGACAATAAAACACTTAAGTACAATAAGAGAAATGCACCAACTAAAAACAAACCAAAAAAATGAATAGATATCTATAATTCTGGCATCTTGACATATGCTAATGAACATATAGTATCAACTGACTGCAGCAAATGAAATGTTGTGAGCCACCATGCTCAAGAGTAATTTGGTCCTTCTCCCATCTAATTTATTCTATAGCTCAACTGCTCACAATTTCATGCACTACTTTATAAGCAAATCTGTTGACTGTAAGTGGAATGTTTCAATTATTATTTCAAGTCATTAGTAGAGCAACTGTAAAAGAGACGACAGATAATATAATCAGATTTTATGGTACAAACGTCAGTAAATATCTGGTACTGATAATATACTCAGAAACATGCTTAGAAATGCATATAAACCCTTAACTATTGTCCCTGGTTAAATAAACAATATATCTGCCTAAGAGAGTAGAGCAAAATCAGCATTTAACTTTTTAGTTCACACCAGCCATTTTAGAACACTATGACATCCAGTAATTATCTTCTGTATTTTTTTTCTCAGCAAAGTTTGCAGCCCTGTGCTGCCAGAAAGGGCTGTATAAATATGTAAGCAGTCCAAGTGACACAAGGCATCTCTCTAGCCAAGTTCTAGCCTTTAACAATCCATCCCAGGTCTCAATACTCTGAGGCAGGGGGAACTGAGCTGTCTCCATCTTGGCTTGTGACCTTCGGAGCTAGATCTGTGTGTCTTAAGCCTGTGCTAGTAAAAGCTTGATAATTTCAGTTTTGGAGGATAAGTACACATGGGAAGGGAACAGGAAGAGATGATAAGAAAGAGAAAACGATGCTTTTGCCATTCTGAGAGAATGTGTTAAATTAGAGCTCAGCCCACATGAATAACAATGCCAGGCTATCACACCACTTCACATTTCTAGTGATTTCGCTCATTGAGTAATTCCTTGCGTGACTAGTGCATAAAAATAGAGAGAGAAATTCAGGCTTCTTGTGAGGTTTTCTTTAACACAGCTATAAGGCTGGTTAATTATTTCTTACTTTTGCATTTCTTTACATCTGTTAATACTCAAGATATTCTGTCTTCATTAAGACAAAATAAATGTGGAATGATAAATGAATAATATTAATACTCCTAATATCAATTATAGCTACCACTTAATGAGTGATTGCTCTTCAAGGCAATGTTCTATGCATTTTGTTAAAAATTACTTATCTCATTAAATCTTCAAAACAATCCTCTAGGTATCATTATTACCTCCATTATATAGGTTAAAAACTGAATCGAGATAAAGCTTATTATGAAGACTACACAACTTGATGATTGCAGTGGCACTGCTGAGAAAAGACAGATGTAAATGGGAAGTAGAGGGAAGGCACCTAGGTATCTCTTAATCTTCCTTTCTTCTTCATTGACTTCTTGCCTGGAGGAAATGGCCAATGAGCATAAGTTGAGTATCAGTGAATGCAAGAGAGTCAGAAACTAAAGACAGGAGAGGAGGCTACGGCAGAATCATAGGCTACATCTACGCTCTGCTATTAGGTAGAAGTAGAAAATAGTGTAAATGTGGTCCTGGTGCAAAACACCCTACAGAATCTATATGGCTTCAGAAAACACTTGCCTTTCCCTCACCCCAAAAGCCATCTCAGATGCAGTCCAGTCCTTACTTGTCCAAGCTGTACGGGCCCATAGTAAACTGTGGGCTTGGCTTACATCTCTGTGAAGTTTCTCTTGAATATTGAGTTGATCATTGAATTGCCCTAATGACTCAAGCAAGGTTTATAAGGAGCCCACAGACAGTCAAGCCACAATGCAAACTCATGAAAAAGCTTCTATTTTAGGACTAGCCTGGGATTTGGCTTTTCCCCCCATCACAGTGGAGAGTGGACAGTGGCTGAATTTCAAGGGTTGTGTGAATTTCAAGGGTTATAGATTTAACTTTAAAGTAGATCATAGCAGTGCTTTATAATGTACAAACTTTTCTGCAGCATAATCAGTTGGCATGGATGTTACAAAAGAAAAATTAAGAGAGCTTTCACTTGTACTCAGCAACTCTTTAGTACTTTATGAACATAAGTGCCTTTTTAATCAGTCTAATTGTGTTATCCTTACAGAAAGTCTATTATCTTTAATTTACAGAAGAGGAAATTATGGCATAATAATCTATTAAGCATTTTGGATACAGAACAGGAATTGATGATTTATGCTCTCTTGGTTTTTAATTCACTTATGAAACCATCTAGGTTATCCAGATGTCAAAATGCAGCTAAAATAAAATACAAAGAGCAGGTATGTGATTTGAGCGGGACGGTATTCACTCAGCCCTCTAGGGTCAGTAGATGCTCACCACCCTACAGGCCAACCCATTTGATCATTATTAGTAGAGCTTATTCATCCATCCCACAAATATCCATTAGCACTAAGATGCAGAAAACCAAAGTTGATCATTTGCTCCCTGTTAAGAGCCTGGTGTATATTCTTTTATACTTTTTATATAAATATATACAATAATTAACACATATATAAAAAGGTTTTGCCTACTTGTTTGCTTTTACTAAAATATAATCATAATGTCCTATTAGTCTGTAATATGCATGGACTCAATTGTTATACATCCATTTTTTGTGTAAATTGATAAACATTGAATTATTATTAATAATAAAACAATACTATTATAAAAATAAAGAAAATAAAAACACAAACATTTATTAAGCACCTACTATGCACCAGAGGCTGTGCTAGGTTTCTTCAAACAGAAGACATCTGTAGTTAGATCCTGCAGAATGAACATGAGAGTTCCAGGCGAAAGGGAAGTGGTAGGGGGAGAGGTGTCCTATACAACATACATAATCGTCCTCTGTGTTCTCAAAGCACCTTGTTCCTCATCTGAGAACACTTGCCACAATGTATGGTTGTAATTTATTTTCATTGTTTCCTTCACTAGAGGAGGACATAGAAGTCAAGTCTAGGCTATTCATTGCGGCCTAGATTTTGGAGAACGTTTTTCCATCTCTTGTTTTCATACTTCTTTCACTCTTTTCTTATGCTATTTAGCTCTAAAGACATCCATTAATTGTTTATTTGCAGTTGATTATATGTATTCTTTTATTATTTGCCTCTTCTTTCTACAGATGAAACAGCTTCAATTCCCCTCAGCATGGCCAGCTCCCTCAGCACCCTGGACACTATAGTGCTTTTGACATCTGTTAGTCCTTCTCTCAAAGAACACAGCCCCAAATTAAGAAAACTGCTGCCTAGAGTGCCACCAGCCCAGAGTGCAACTGAGAATTCTAGATTGCACCCTATAGTCTTACTTATTCATTGATCCGTTTATCATAGTCAGGTTAGGATCAGATTACCTTTAAACTGATTTCTACATTTTGATGACTTTGATTGTTACAATCTAACAGAGTATTAGGTTTGATTAGTTGTGTGTGTGTGTGTGTGTGTGTGTGTGTGTGTGTGTGTGTTTTAATAACTCCATAGCATTCTTGGTCAAACTGTGTTTGTGGTCCACTGAATCTTCCATGACTTCTTCACAGGAACTGAAGCCTTCCCAAGTTCCCCTTACCCCAGACTCCTAAATTGTTCAAAAAATCAAATTTCTTATTGTTTTCAAAACAATATTTTACCCTGTCAACACCATTTTGAACTTTTATGCTGGCATTTATCACATTATATTAGTTCCCCTTCTTCTAGCTTCTAGTTAGCTCCAGACAGATCACCACTAACAAGACAGCATCAAGGACAGAGCCTCATGGCACTTCACCTGAGATCTGTTTACCAACTGCTACTTACAATTTTGTATAAAATTTTTATTTAAAAAATGGGCATTCATTTATCAAGCCAACCATGTAGTATCCTGAAAGTCTTATTTATGTACCCAGACTTGATATTCTTGTCTCATTGATAAATTTTCCAAAGAGCAATGTAAATGTTTCTGATCAGGGGTGTAACAAAATTGTGATGCGATGCTTGAAAGACCATGGACTTTACCAGACAGACCTGTGTTCGCTTAATTCAGACCTTTCAGGACTGTGATGGGGGAAAGGGGTGGCACTGGCGGTACAATAAGCAGTGGGATATTGAAGTCATAAATTTTCTATACAGTGCTGCAATCTAGATTGTGTAAAACATGCAGTAATTCTAGTTTCCATAACTGATCGAAACTTCATCATAAGCACCCATCTTCCACTAAATAGAAATGGGATGGGAGGAATTCTGAATAAATGCTTAACTGTTCTCAGTTTCTCATCATTCCCTCTTCTGGAAAAACAACACTGGGGTCTAGTTGGAGGTCTGCAAGACCTCAAGATCAAGGTGGGGAGGCAACTCACCAGCCTTCACTGCCCTCCACTGCCAGGTGTG